ATGACAGACAGACCAATGGAACAGAATAAAAAACTCAGAAATAGACTCATCTTTCTATAGACACATGATCTTTGACAAAGGAACAAAACTCATTAAATAGAGGAGAAATCACCTCTTTAACAAATGTTGTTAGGTGCTATTGAGTCATCTCTGACTCATAGCAACCCTATGTACACTGCCAGGTCCTGTGCCAGCTCCACAATCCCTGCTATACCTGAACCCATCTTTGAAACCACTGTGTCCATCTATCTTCTTGAGGGCCTTTCCCTCTTTCGTTGACCCTCCACTTTACCAAGCATGATATACTTCTCCAGGGAATCATCTCTCACAAGACCAAAGTAGGTGAGATGAATTCTGGTCATTCTCACTTCCAAGGAGCATTCTGGCTGCACTTCTTCCAGGACAGATTTGTTAGTTCTCTTAGCAGTCCATGGTTTTTTCAGCGTTCTTCACCAATGCCACAACTCAAAAGCATAGACTCTTCTTCAGTCTTCCTTATTCATTGTCCAGCTCTCACATGCATATGAGATGATTGAAAATGCCATTGCCTGTGTCAGGCACACTTTCGTCATCAAGGAAACATCTTTGCTCTTCAGCACTTGAAAGAGGCCTTTTGCAGTCGATTTGCCCAGTGCTATACATCCTCTGATGTCCTGACTGCTGCTTCCCTTGGTGTTGATTGTAGAACCAAATAATACGAAGTTTTTGACAACTTCAAACTTTTCTCCATTTATTGTGATGCTGCTTATTGGTCCAATTGTGAAGAGTTTTGTTGTCTTTATATTGAGATGTAATCCATACTGCAGACTGTATTCTTCAATCTTCATCAGTAAGTGCTTCAAGTCATCCTCATTCTCAGCAAGGAAAGTTGTGTCATCAGCATATCTTAGGTTGTTAATGAGCCTTCCTCTAATCTTGATGCAACACTCTTCTTCATATAGTCCAGCTTTTCAGATTATTTCCTTGGCATACAGATTGAATAAGTATGGTGGAAGGATACAAGCCTAACATACTCCATTCCTGATTTTAAACTTTGCAATGTCCCCTTGTTCTGTTTGAACGACTGCCTCCTGGTCTATGCACAAGTTCCTCATGAGTACAATTAAGTGTTCTGGAATTCCCATTCTTCTTAGTGTTATCCACAGTTTGTTATGATCCACACAATTGAATGCTTTGGTATAGGCAATAAAACACAACTAAACATCTTTCTGGTATTCTATGCTTTGAGCCAAGATCCATGATGTCAGCATCATCAATGATATCTCTCATTCTGCATCCTCTCCTGAATCCAGCTTGCATTTCTGGAAGTTCTCTGTCGATACACTGCTGCAACCATTTATGAAGATTTTATTTGCATGCGATATTAATGATATTGTTTGATAATTTCCACATTCTGTGGGATCACCTTTCTTTGGAATGGGTACAAATATGGATCTCTTCCAGTCAGTTGGCCAGGTAGCTCTCTTCAAATCTCCTGGCATAGCTGAGTGAGTGGCATAGCTCCAGCATGGCGTCTGTTTGTTGAAACATCTCAATGGCTATTCCATCAATTCCTGGAGTCTTGTTTTTTGTGACGTCCTTCAATGCAGCTTTGACTTCTTCCTTCAATACCATTGGTTCTTGATTATATGCTACCTCGTGAAATGGATGAACATTGACTAATCTTTTTGGTACAGTGACTCTGTATATCCCTTCCATCTTCTTTTGATGTTTCCTGCGTCATTCAATATTTTGTCCATACAATCTTTCAACATTGCAACTCAAGGCTTGAATTTTTTCTTCAGTTCTTTCAGTTTAATAAATGCTTAGTGTGTTCTTCACTTTTGGTTTTCTAACTCCACTTCTTTGCACATTTCATTACAATAATTGACTTTGTCTTCTCAAGCTGCTCTTTGAAATCTTCTGTTCAGCTCTTTTATCTTGTCATTTCTTCCATTTGCTTGAGCTACTCTCCACTCAAAGGCAAATTTCAGAGTCTCTTCTGATATCCATTTGGTCTTTTCTTCCCTTCCTCTCTTTTGGCATACAGATTGAATAAGTATGCTTTCTTCATGGATGATGTTCTTGATGTCATCCCACAATTTCTCTGGTTTTCTGTCATTGGTGTTCAATGCATCAAATCTACTTTTTTTAGATTATCTCTAAATTCAGGAGGGATATATTCAAGGTCATATTTTGGCTCTTGTGGACTTGTTATAATTTTCTTCAACTTCAACTTGAACTTGCATATGAGCAGTTGATGGTCTGGTCCACAGTTAGCTCTTGCCCTTGTTTTGGCTGAAGATACTGAGATTTTCCATTGCCTCTTGCCATAGATGTAGTCAATCTGATTCTTGTGCACTCCATCTGGTGAAGTCCACCTGTATAGATGCCATTTGTGTTGTTGAAAAAAGTATTTGCAATGAATAAGTTATTAATCTTGCAAAATTCTATCATGCAATCTTCAGAATTACCTCTAACACCAAGGCCAATTTTTCCAACTACTTATGATTCTTTTTTATTTCCAACTTTTGCCTTCTAATCACCAATGATAACCAGCACATCTACAACCTACCAGCACATCTTGATTGCATGTTCAGTCAACATGTTTGGTTAACAAATGGTCCTGGCAAAATTGGACATCCACTTGCAGAAAAATGAAATAAGACCCATACCTTACCCCAAACATGAAAATGAACTCAAGTTGGATTAAAGAGTTAAATATAAAACCCAAACTATAAAGCTCATCAAAGATAAAATAGAGGCAAATCTAGGGGACTTAATCTATAGCAGAAATAGATTATCAACCATAACCCAAAATGCACAGGCAATGGAAGCTAGATGACTAGGATCTTTTAAAAATTAAATTCTCATGTATATTGAAAGACTTCTCCAAAAAGGTAAAAAGAGAACCTACATATTGGGAAAGAATATTTGGCTATGACATATCTGACAAAGGACTTATCTCTGAAATATATAGAAAACTTCAACAACTCAACACCAAAAACACAAACAACTCAATTAAAAAATGGGCAAGGGACACAAACAGACAATTCATTAAAGAAGATATACTGACGATCCACAAACACACAAGGAAATGCTCAAGATTATTAGCCATTAGAGAGTGGCAAATCAAAACAACTATGAGATATCTCACCTCAGCAATAATAGCAATAATAGCAAAGTTCAATAAGACAGAAAATAACAAACACTGGCAAGGTTGCGGAGAGATTGGAACTCTCATATACTGCTAGTGGGACTGCAAAATAGTACAACCATTATGGAAAGTGTGATAGCATTTCCTTTAAAAAATGAAAATAGAAATACCATTAGATCCAGCAATCCCATTACTAGGAGTATATCTTAAAGAGGTGATAGACAGGACACGAACAGACATATGCACACCCACGTTCATCACAGCACAATTCACTATAGCAAAGAGATGGACACAACCTAATACCTATCAACAGATGAGTGGATAATCCAACTATTGGTACATTCACACAGTGGAATATTATGCAACATTAAAGAATAATGAAGAACACACAAATCATCTCACAGAGTGGATGAATTTGGAGGATATTATGCTGAGTGAAATAAGTCAATCACAGAAGGACAAATATTGTATGAGCTTGTTATTGTAAAAAGTCAAGGAAAGGTTTACTCAGGGAAGGAAATTCACTTTGTTAGTTACTGGGGATGTGAGGGAAGGGGAGGGAAAATTTTGGACTAATTGTGGGTCACATGTTGATTTGGGTGAGGGGAGGAATGGTATGGAAAGAGTGTGTGGACCAGCATGATGACACTGGGGAAAGGAAGGACACTGAAACGTGCACATAAGATATAAACAACAGAGGCAAATACTAGTACATGCACAATACTGCATTACCACTAACACCAAACACCAGGCTACATAGACAAGTGAGAAGATCAGGTGGGGGTAGGCAAACAGGAATATACCCCAGACCAAGGATAGATTTAGTTGAAGATGATCTTACATATGCACTTGTGCTACAAAATTAGCCACATACATTACAGAAGCAACAGAAGACAGAGTTGAAGTTCTCAGAGAGAACCAAACACCTTAAGAGAGAGAATCACTGGGCCTGCAGACTTGGCACCATAGTCTGAGGGGACATCATGCTCAATTGGCACAACATAGTACATAAAAATCTTGTTCTACAACTTACTTTGGTGAGTAGTGACTGGAGTATTAAAAGCTTTTGAGTGGCCATTTAAGATTCAACTATTGGTCTCCTCCAGTCAGAAGCAAAGAAGAGTGAAGAAAATCAAAGGCACCTTGAAACAATTAGTCCAAGGATAAGATGGACCATGAGGACCTCAGCCTTCACAACCCTGACACTAGAAGAAGTAGATGGTGCCCGGCTACCAAGGCCAACCACTAGGAAAAGGATAAAAACTGGAGATACTTGATAGATTGGGAAGAAAAAGTGGAACAAAATTCAAAAACACAAAAATGACCAGAATTACTGACTGGATAGAGTCTGGTGGAATGCCCAAGACTATAGCCCCAGTTTATCCTTCAGGCCTAGAAGTGGACTTACTTTCATGGATTGGCTCTCAGCCCAACAGTAGAAAGACCTACATGCAGAACACCTACCCCAGGGGGATTCACCCACCTACTCTAGGGAGATATACCCCTTAGATCAATCAGCCATGAGACACCAGAGGGACAGCATTCACAAAGAGGGAAAACTGGACAGACAAGAAGGCATAGTTGAGAAGGGCACAGGGAGGGGGTAGTCACTGGGAGGGGAGGAGAGGAAATTTTTATGGTTGTGGATGGTAATTGGGGTACAAAATCAAATGTGCATGAACTGTTGAAAGTAAAGCAAATTTTCTTTGTAAATTTGCACTGAAACCACAATTTAAAAAAATGAATAAAATGAAAAAAAGAGAAATTAGGTTTCTTTAGGTTTCTCGTGAAAAGGATTTCTATAATTCCAAAATATTCACTACTTGGAATTGCATCTGCTGTAGCAAAATTCTCATCCTCTTCATCACGATGCTTTTGAAATTCTTCCAGTTTCATCCATTCCATGGCCAAATACAGTTTGTTGCCTGCCATCTGGAACACAGAAGAGTCTCATTAAGATACAATTTTCTGGATAACAGTGTGTTGTTGTATAAAATTTGTGGTGTCTTAACCAAATTTGCATACACTTTTAACATAGATAATTATGTAATTGATTCTTTTATTAACAAAATTTCCTGATTTTCTCTGGTAAGTAATATAAACTACCCACATTGGTATATTACTGTACTTCAAAGGCATAAAGATGTATAGGGAACCTACAGTTGTAAAACAGTGAAATAAGAATTTTAAGTACATGACCAAGTAGCTCAAAAGAAGCGAGAAATCACAGGGATTCAGAAAGAAGAATCTCAAGTATTTCTCCCATTATTCTTTCTTTAGTATAAAGGTAATAATCTTTCTCTTCACCCAAATTAATGCTTGTCTCTTACCTTGCTAGCAATTTCCCCTCTACTCCCCTCCCATCTCTGGTAACCAATAAAAAGAGTTTCCTTCCATGTGTAAGACTTTCCTTGACTTTTAAAAAATACTGGACTCACACAATATTTGTCATTCTGTGATTGCCTTATTTCATTCAGTATAATGTTGTCCGTGGTAGTTAAATTGTGTGTTAACTTGGCTGGTCCTGGTTTGAGTGGTTGGGTGGCTGGATGTAGTTATTCCCCATGATGAGACTGGTAATCAATTCCATGATAGAATCTACTGGAGCAGCTGAGTAGCTGCCTTGGGTATGTAGTCTGCTTCCTGTATCTAAGAAGATAGCTTTGAGAAAGATCTCTGAGCTTTTTGGCATGCTTGGACCCTGCATGTAGCCAAATCTTCATTCAGCATGTTGTCTGCTGATCTTGGGGTTGTTCCTGGACTTGAACATATTGCCATATTGTCTGCTAATCTTGGGACCATGCTGTTTTTCTTGTCGACCTTGGGTTTGTCAGCCTCAGCAGCGAGCTGGTGCCTGAGTTAAGAGATGCCTCTAGCTCCAGTGAGCTGGGAGCAGGAGTCAGAGCTCAAGCGTAGGGTCAAGGGGCCTTCATTCAACCCCTAGAGCTAGCCCTTTGAACTCAGACTTCTAGCCTCCTAAGCTGTAAGAAACTAAATCCCTGTTTGTTAAAGCCATTCATTTCTAATATTTTCTGTTTAAGCAGCACTAGAGAACCAAAACATCCTCCAACTTCATCCACATTAAGAGGTGTTTCACAGATTCTTCATCACTCTTTAGTGTTGAATAGTATTCCACTGTGTGTATGTAACATAGTTTGATTATCCATTCATCCATTGATAGATACTTAGGTTGTTTCCATGTCTTTGCTATTGTGAATAGTGCTTCAATGAACATGAGTGTGCATATATTTATTCGTGCCCCACCTCTCACTTCTTTAGGATATATAACTAGTAGCAGGATTGGTGGATGAAATAGTATTTCTATTTCCAAACTTTCAAGGAAGCATCATACCATTTTCCAAAGTGGTTCTATCATTTTACCATCCAACCAGCAGTGAGACAACAACAACAACAACAAGAGAGTCCCAGCCTTCCACATCCTCACCAGCATTTTTTATTTTCTGTTTTGTTGAACTTTGCTGTTACTGCTTGAGTAAGATATCTTATTTTTGCTTTGATTTACATCTCTCTAACAGTAATGAAGGAGCTCTGGTGGTGTAGTGGTTAAGGAATTTGGCTGCTAACCAAAAGGTTGGTGGTTTGAACTCACCAGTTTCTCTGCGGAAGAAAGATGAAGCAGTCTACTTCTGTAAAAGAGAAACCCAATGGGTGTCAGAACTGATATGAGTCAGAACTGATTTGATACCAGTGAGTTAGGTTTTGGGGTTAATGGTAATGATTATGAGAATTGTTTCATGTGTTTGTTGGCTGTCTAAATATCTTCTTTGTTGAAGTGTCTGTTAATGTCTTTTGCCCATTTTTAAATTTAATTGGCTTTCTTTTTGATGTTGAAGTGTTGGAGTTTTCTATACATATTTAGAAGTAAGTCAGATATATCTCTGCAGAATAATTTTTCCAATATGTAGGTTCTATTTTTACTCCTTTGGAGAAGTTTTTGATGCACATAAGAAGTTAATTTTTAGAAGTTCCCAGTCATCTAGTTAGGAGCTCTGGTAGCATAGTGGCTAAAGCACTTGACTGCTAACCAGAAGGCTGGTGGTTCAAACCCATCAGCCACTCCTCGGAAGGAAGATTGCGTAATCCTACTTCCGTAGTGATACTGCCTCGGAAACCCAAGGAGGGGTCGCTATAAGTCGGGGCTGACTCGACGGCACATAACAACAACAACAAGTCATCTAGTTTATCTTCTGCTGTTTGTGCATTTTTAGCTGTGGTTGAGAGTCTATGTATCCCATAAAATATAGCTCCAGAGTTTGCTCCCTTTTTTCCTTTTGATGAAATTTATACTTTTAGGTTTGCATTTAATTCTTTGATACATCTTGAGTTGTTTTTAGTATATAGTGTGAGGTAGGATCTTGTGTCATTTTCCTGCAAATGGATATCTAGTTTTGCCAGCACCATTTTTTAAAAAGACTGTCTCTTCCCCATTGATGGACTTTGGCTTGTTGTCAGAGACCAGCTGTCCATAGGTGGATGCATCTATTTCTGGATTCTCAATTATGTTCCACTGGGCAATGTGTCGGCCATTGTACCAATACCCGACTGTTTTACTACTATGGTTATACTAGGCTTTGAGATCAGGGAGTATGAGACCACCTACTTTGTGTTTCTTCAGTAGTGTTTTGGTTATGCAAAGTCTCTCTCCTTTCCATATGAAATTGTTTTTAGGTGCTGTTGAGTTGGCTCTGACTCATAGTGACACTATTACAACAGAACAAAAGAATACCTGGTCCTGAGCCATCCTCATATGCTTCAGCCCATCATTGCAACTACTTTGTCAATCATCTTGTTGACAATCTTCCCTTTTTTTGCTGGCCATCCAAATCACCAAGCATACTATCCTTCTAAAGGGAATGGTCCCTTTTGACAACATGACCAAAGTAGGTGAGATGAATTCTGGCCATTCTTGCTTCCAAGGAGCATTCTGGATGCACTTCTTCCCATACAGATTTGTTCATTCCTCTGGCAGTCTAGGGTATTTTTGGAATTTTTCACCAACACCACAGTTCAAAGGCATGAACTCTACTTTGGTCTTTCTTATTCATTCTCAAGCTTCTAAGTGTATATGAGATAACTGAAAATACCAAGACTCGGGTTATGCACACATTAGTCTTCAAAGTAACATCTTTTCTCCTTCACACTTTAAAGAAGTCTTTTGCTGTTATATTATAGTGATTGCAATCAATGTCCTAAAACTAAATGTGGAGTTCCAGTAAGATGGTAGAATAGGCAGAAAGACTGCACAGACCCTTTTCAACAAAGAAATGGGAAACCAATTAATACAGATACAGAAGACAATCCTGGACCCCTGAGCCTTGAAGGGAAGTATGTAGAAGTGGACTAAACTCCAACTATCAGAAAAAACAGAGACATACAGAGCTGTGTGGTCTGACAGCAATCCTGAAGGCACAGACAGCTTGGATATTGTCGAGTGGTGGTAGGACCTAAGAATTAACCTAAAAATTGGCCCTGTTAGCCAGGGACTGCACAGAGGACCACACTGGTGGCTAGTGAATAAAAGTGGGAGCAGCAAAGTGGAAGGTGGGCTGAGCTGTGGACTTTTGTCTGTCCAGAGGGTGCAGCCATTTTGAATGTTTACAAGTAGCTTGACCATTTTGGATATTTAAAGTGACAGCATTCTCCCAGATTCCAGGGACTTAAGAGCAGGCTCCATTTGCTGGGAACCACAAGGACATTCTGGATGACTGGAAAGGTGCAACATTTCCCTTGTTACTCTTATACCCCATATCTTCTTGGTGAATGAAGGTGTGGCCATCCCTCACTCCCACCCACTTTCTGGGCTGGCTGAAATTCCATCCTAGTCTGTGTACTCGGATGGAGCCTGGGTACCATGCCCTGATTTTTTATTTACTTTTTCTATGTTTTAGTTTGTTTGTTTTTGTCTGTTTTAAAACTACTACTATTATTATTACTTTTGTCCTTTTTACTATTATTCATTATTCTTCCACTCCCAGGTTCTAGTTTTCAGCTTTTTTTCTTTACCCTGTTCCTGGTTGCAATTTTTTTTTCTTCCTCGTGGTTAATCTCATTCCTTGTTTTTCTTTTTCTGTTTGTCCCATTTTTTCTTCATTATTCTCTTTCTCTACATTTTTTCTCTTATTGACCTCTCAACAGATATTGCAGGTTTTTTTTCCCCCCTTTTTTCTTTTTTTGGTTACTGTTCCTGTGTGATTACATGGTGTACATTTTGTCCATGTGCTTTTACTTTTCTGATGGTCATTAAGCTGTTATTTTTGTCTAACTGAATGGAAGACAGCAACAGTCCCCATATGACACAACTACACCCACACCACCTGCAACTTCACTTAGAGAGAGCCACCACTTCCTTCTCCACCAATGGGCCAATGATAAACACCCACCAAGAATAGCCTGACTCACCCTTGGGTGCTCTTCACAAACAGGTAACAGAGATTTAAATACAACAATACTGATGTCTGGGAAACAACAGACCATCACAGTTCACACTAAGAAGAAAGATAAAGTGGTAGAAACAATTGAGCAAGATACAGACTCAGAACCATATCCCTGAGGAAGAAGCAGCATTGGAACTCTCTGATAAGGAGTTCAAAGAATTATATTTAGGTATCTTCAAAGGATTGAGAGACAGACTAAGGAAACACAGACAAAACCCTAGAAGAATTTTGGAAGAAAATACAAGAACAAAATGACAAAATAAATGAAAAATTAGAAATGATTATAAATCTACAGATAGAAATC